ATAGCTTATAAATAGCTAATTGTCTTTTCTTAAATAACAGTTCATATTTATTAAGTGGAATTTTTGTTTTGAACAAAATTTGTTTTTAACTGTATACAAGACTGTATTCTGATTTGCACCATTTCTGGTTTGTCTTACCTTGCTTCTATCCTAATTTTATGTGTGTACATTGTTAGAATAATTTTTAAGTTTATAAATTAGCCTAGTATAAATATGGTGAGAAATTATAAGCCTAAAAAGGATACTAAGCTTCTGGAAAACAAAATTAGTAAATTTCTTTTAATGATTGAAAATTAAAATTTCAGTGTGAGAGCTGCTGCCAGAGCTGTTGGCATACCTTACTTAACTTTACACTTTCCCTTAATGAAGTTAAAAAATCCAGCAAAAGTAACCAATGTGGGAACTCTCTTATATTTCAAAAGAACATGAGAATGAGTTGGCTGATTGCCTAAAATATATGTAACGATGCAAAGATTTTTGAAAATTTGAGGCGTTAATCATTCTTCTTGCTTTGAAATAAATTGTTTTATTAGCTGCTTAAAGATATCTTTTTGGTTTATTTTTTGATCTTGATGTCTTATTTGTTAATTACCATTATATAATTATTTTCAAACCCTTTACAATAAAAACTGGTGATCAGCAATTACCCCAGAACTGATCAGGAATTACCCCAGAAGTGATGAAGACCAGGGGTAATTCCTGATCACTAAAAATTTTAAATCTTTTAAATTCTAATTAGATTTTCAAACAAAAGAAGTTGGCATAGGACTCATCTCATATAGCCTCAAACTTCCAGTAAATATTAAAATTCTATTTTGAATAGTTTTTTCACAAAATAGATATTTGCGTTTTTTGATCAGGAATTACCCCAGGTCACCCTATTTTAAGTAGCGTATTATGTATATATTTAGCGTGTGATTTATTATGCAGTAATATTAATAAAATTTGATTTTGTTATTTAACAGTTCTTTATATAGTAATTATAAGATAAAGTTTTACTGTATTCTTTAATGTAAAATATTGTAAAAGTGCACTTATTTTAATTTAAGAAAATCATTAAATTTATTTATTTTTACAGTTGTTAATTTTAAGTTTTTGCCTCTGTTTTAAAATGATGTATTAAAAATTCTATTATTTAAAATGGATTGCAATAATAAACTATTTTAATATTTGATATTTCTCTTTAAAAAAGTTTATTCCACATGTGCTGGAAAAAACTTATTTATTCCTGTTATTGGGTGTTTTTTTTTTCACTGTGAAACATATTTTAATTCCTGGCTGAAATATATTTCACTTCACACAATGTTTAAAAACACTTTCAATAGTGGAGCTCTAATTCTCAAATTTATTCTGCGAGTAAACTTTTTTAATTTGCATTTATGATGACACATATTTGTAATGTTTAATTTAATCTTCAGGCTAGGTTATTTACATTCTTAATCTAGGTTATTTAGATTCTGAAATCTTAAATGTTACCGTTACTTTGCTTTCTAAACTTTTTCATTCCTGAACCTGAAATTTTAAATTTGTTACATACTGTATTTTCCTATGTTTAAATTACCTCTTAAACCTCAAAATTGCTTTGAAACCAGTGGCGGACGCAGAATTTTTTCAAGGGGGGTGTTCATAATTTTCTGAAACTACTAAAAGAAATTCGAGTCTGTAATAAAGCACTATTATTTCCCTAATTTAGACAGCTAGACAATTTTGACTTTTTATTTAGACAACATTGTTTAGTTAAATTTTGATTTGATTTTTTAAGTTTAAGAACATAATGTAATATCTTCTGAAAAAAGTCCAATGTCATATGGGTGGGAAGTAACACTTTGAGGGCCACTTTCACATTCATCAGATTTTGTTATGCTAGAAACGTTTTCTTCAACGAAAGTATCACATTTCTGTACAACAGAAAAACTTACATTGATACTAGATGCTGTCACCTCACTAATTTCAGGTCGTGTTTTTTTCTCAAAATAATTAAAAATTGTTAAATTCTTACGTTTTGACATCCTAAAGATCCAAGAACAGTAAATATATATACTGGCACAGAAATAAATGCTATCCTCAGGGACGGCGCTTACGCGGGGACATACGCCATTCAAATTTTTGGGGCCCTTCGATTAAGTTGTTTTTCTCGTATATTTTTTATTTATTCAAATTTAAAAGTATTTATATCTTTTCATTTCAGAAAGCATGTTTAAAATTAAAATAAATAATAATAAATTGAATTTTACTTTATTTTGTTAAATTAGAACTAAATTTTAACCATAACATTTTGAAAAAATTTTAATATATATTTAAAATTGATTTTTTTTTAAACCATCATTGTTTTTCTTAATTTTTTAAAATTTATTTTCAAAAAAATCCATTTTAAGGGGGCCCCTAATTATTTGATATTACATCATCCACTGTACTCCGTTCCCCCTTTTATATAGTTTTTCACCGCATCTCCAAAATTCTCGAATTGTCTCAAAGACAACAGCATGTCTAGGATTACAGAATCATCGCATAAAGATCTCTCGCGAATGACAGCCAGTCTCGAAAACTACACTGGCAGGACAGAAAGGAACCAGTCCGTAACAGTATCACGTGAATTTGGTTTCAAAAGTACAACCCTATTATAGTAAATGTTTTTTCAGTATTCTGAGAAATACCAAGGGGAAAAAAGGTAGGCATAAGGCAGATAAAAATATATTGTCTTAAAAAATAATAGCTCGCATAATTTCTACTAAAATTTTTATTTTTTTCATTTTGTCTGAGCTCAAGGGGGGTGTTTAAACCCCTCCCTTGCGTACGCCACTGTTTGAAATTAAAGGTCAACTTATATGCTGATAACACATTTAGACGCAAAGGTTTTATTTGAAAACTGTTTCTTAACATAAACATTTTTTCGAATCTATAAGATAAATGCAAACATTATGAAAATAATGTTATTAAAGCAAAATTAAAACATATAACAGTAATAAAACTTTTTACATTCATGAGAAAATACATAAAATGTGCGTAAAACCAACTATTTTAAAGTTAAAGAGGAAAACTAGGCTTATACACAGGAAAATGTGATATTTATGCTTTTGAAAAACTTAAAATTAATATTTGACACATAAAAACTGAAACCTAAATATTTTTAATTGACTGAAGAATATTTTGGTAAAAACAGACCACTGTAAACTTTTTATTAACTTGAAATCTTAATCTTTCTTGATTCACCTTATTATATTCAAATTGTTATTATTCTTTAGCTTAATCTTTATTTTTCTTATTTGTGGGCGTTTCTTATATCTTATTTTGTGTACTTTTAAGTCATTATTAAGACTTACTTTGTGATTGTTTGTCATTTATTTTTCTTTGCATTTACATTTCAATTTTTCCAATTTCTTTTTCTTACTCGGGGCACTGTCAGTTTTTGGTTTCACCACTGACAACAGAAAGGCTCCTGTGTGTTGTCAGGAAGTGTGTCCCCTGATGAAGTACTATCCTGCTAACACGCATGTCTTAAAATTTTTACAATTTTTGTTTTCTGCTTGCTACAATTGTTTTTCTGACTTTATAAATTAAAATAAAACAAATTTGGATTAAGCTGCTTTAAGCGCTTCTCTATTTTGATTTATTTTTTTTAAATGTTGCTTACATATTTTGTCTCTTTCTGAATTTGTAAATTAATTTCATTCTTTGATTAGAAATCTATTTCTATATTATGATGTAACCTCTGTTATTTGTTTTATATTATTAACATATATGTAGTAAGTTTTAAATTAGCATCTCTAAAAAAGTTATAATTTACTAATTTTAATGCTTTATGTGTTTCACTAAAGAGGTATTTTGTTTTTTATTTAAGGAAGTGAACTTCAATACAAGCGCTGGAGAACAACTGCGATGTTTTATTCCATCAGCATTATATATTGGACAACAAACTCAAAGAAAAAATTTTATTGGTAATGCTTTAAAATTTCTATTTCATTAAGTAAATATTTTTCATAATAACAGATTTTTGAATTTTGTTGAGGCCATCTATGGTTATGCTTGCAGGATGCAATATAAAACAAATTTTGTTTTTTTAAGAAAAGATGTAATATTGTGTTGGTTTTTAAAGGAAATTTAATTTGTGAAGATAACTTATCATTCATTCAAGTCTAGATCATCGGTAGAAGATGTATCTTGTGAAATTATAAGTTAAAGATTAAATTATAAAAAATTATTAACAAGAATTTTTTTTTTTTTTTTTTTTTTTTTTTTTNTTTTGCTATTTATTTTTGAGAATAAGCATAATGACCTTACATAGGATTACTTTATTCAACTAAAATTTTGAAAGTATAGTTTTATAAAAAGAATAATTGAAATGAACAATTGATTGCAATATCTATGAAGGGAATCTCATTCCAACATTAAATCATGAGTGGTAATTAGAAGTTATAAAACACTTTGCAAGAATTGTGGATTAGGAATCTGTGATTTGGCATAATNTATTTCTACATCTTTGAGAATATTCTAAAAACAATTTACGGTGTTAAATTTTGTTATTAGGGTACCCTTCCCGTAAACGGACAACTCTCATAAACGGACGAAATTTTTGGTCCCATGAATGTCCGCTTAACGGAGGTTTCACTGTACTTGTTTAATTAAAACTTTTTTTGGAATTTAAAATGCATTGGATGTGGGAAATGGATGATATTTTGTTTATAACGAGAAATAAAAATGTGTTTCTGTTCTCAATCAATCAACTAACTTTTGATTACTAATGATCAGTTTTGTTAAAATAATGTATGTAGTTCTCTAACACATGATAGGAGTTATTTATATATGTGTGTGTACTGGTTTTCCTCTTAATATAAAGCAATTTATTAGTTAATCCAACCAAACCATATGTATCTAAATAATTCATAATTTTAATTTGAGTTTGTTCTTTTAAATAAATTTCCATTTTTTTATAAATTTGAACACTGCCGAAAAAATACAAGAACTAAAATATTAGTTATGTTTATCAAGTTTTACATTATGTAAGTTTCTCTACTTAAAGTTTACAAATAATAATAGTTCATTTCAGAAATACAAATGCTGTGTATTTTATATCCGTGTATAAGCCGGAGAGGATGCTTTTTACTTGGAAAATAACTCAAAATTCAAAAATCTTATGTAAGTCAATGTCAGAAAAATAAAAAATAAGGTATACTATGCATTGAAATTGAAATGGACACCCTCTCTTGTAGTAATGGTAGATCTAATAACAGTTGCACTCTGGATAAAAGAAGCATGAATCTTATGAATTCGTAATTGGAGGTTAAAAAAGTAATAATATTTCTCTCAAATTGTCTTTTTTTAAAGGTTTTTTTTTTCTTCAATATTTATGTTTAGACACACCACTTTCAACTATTATTTTATGTATTTTTATGTCTTGTATGTAAAGTGAGCAACAAAAAAAAAAGGACGTTCCTAAATAACTTTTGATCTAATGATAGGATTTTCACATTCTGGGACTCAATCTTATTGGCTCGAGAGGATGACCTCAAATGTGCTAATTAATAAGTGCAGAAGATATTTTAAGTTACGAAATCAGACACAAAAAATTACTTTCTCTGAATAAACATACCTTTTTTGCAACGAATTCGGATTTCTGATCCCCATAATCTAGGAAGTGGCCACAATTTGGGAAATATAGTCCCAATAGTTTGGTCATGAGAGCAAGCCTAAATTTCAACCCCTTAACAATTTTACTTTTTGAGTAGTTCACTTTGTATTGAGAACATTTTAATCAAATTGAAAATTTTTTACACATATAAGTTGTATGATTTCTAATTTTTTGCATCATTTTAAAGAATGTAATTTGATATGGCAAAATAGTGAAATCTTGAGAAATTTAATTTCAAAAAGTCGGACGCTTAAAATTCAATTTCTCAGGAAGTATTCGACCGACGTCTTAATATTGTATTCCTTGCCTAGTAGTTGTTTTTTAGTAGGTATTTTATTAATATTTTTTGCAAGGATTCATTTCATTTATAGTTTTTTAAAAGTAATGTCAATGTAGTGTTGCCGTCTGTAGATGAATATACCTCTTCTTAAATACATTTATATTCACAGGTTGTAGCAAAGAAGAAGAAGCTTCTGTGTATCAATGGTTAGAGTATTGTTTACTCAATTCTAGTCACATGAGTAACCAAGAGATTTTGTCTGTAAGTTAGATTTATTTAAATTCTTTGCATTATTTATATCAGTATATTTTTGAACTGAAATCAATTTTTGATATTTCTAATTATCTCATTGTATTTATTTTTGATTAAATTTGTGATTGAAATTTTACTATTTTAAAATTAGTTTTTGGATTATAGAGTCTCTTATGGCTTTTTAATAATTATAATATTAGGAATATACAACCTGTGGAAAGGGGGTCAAATCTGCTTTTTAATGGTCAATGTGTAGCCTCCTACCATCTAACCAAAAATTTTAGTTATAACGCATTTCATTAAATCATAACATTAAAACTCCAAAATGTCAATAGGTTAGAAGATTTATTTTACCAATCATTAGAAGAAGAAAAAAAAATCAGTTAAAAAAATTTTTTTAACATATATTCAACCTTTAAGCTTAAGTACTCAAACTAAATTTTTTCTCTTGGATTTATTTAAATGTTAAAGATGTAGTCAATTTATATACATTAAAAAATAATAACAAGCTTAATTTTTCTTCAGAGAAATGTGAAAACCTGTTATAACTTAATTTTATTAAAAAAGACAAAATGTACATAACTTCAAAAGTTTTTTATTGGAGAAATATTATACATTATACTTAATATTGAATTTTTGAGAAATCGATATTGTTCCACAAATAGGTAACACTTACATTAGATTAAAATTACATTAAGGAATAATTCAATCTTGAATTACTATAAAAACAAAGAGTATTATTTAATGTATTTTCTGTTTCCATAATTAATTGTCATGAATATTATAATTTACATAAACAGGGCTGATTATGCTCCAGAGAAATCCGGATTTCTGGATTTTTCCCTAACCGTGATCCGGAAGTTTCTGGCAATCCAATGTCCCAGTTTAAAAAAATCATTGATCACATTTATGCATAAGAATTTTTGTATATTTTCTTTAAAAATATTGGAACTAGAATTTATGCTAGGCATCTCTTTAATTTGTAAATATTTTTTCTGGTAGAATAATAAATATAATTAAAGATAAAAGTGAAATTATACATAATTATTCATTTAAATTATGCTGCATATTATTTACTTAGAATTTCATGTTTTGAAATATAAATAATTTAAATTTGTATCGACATTAATTTTTTGAAATGCTTCATTAATGATTTTAGGATTAATATTCAGGATTTTGAGTTAGGCTCATAATCACCCCTGCATAAAAACAAAGTCACTGAATGAAGCTTGAAACTATTTTTAATTTTATATTCTCCTTTCTGAAAATAAAACAATGTCTTTTAAAGATTTTATTGCGAAAAATGCCACTTTTTTCTTAAGCATGTAAATATTTTTCTATGTAAGTAAAATAGCATGAGATTATTATTCAACTTTTATTGAATATTTCTTCTAAAGGAAATGTACATTCATGTACACGCATTAAATATTTTTGATTTTACAATGTAATATTCATCATTGTAGCAAAAAACATTTAATTAAATTAACTTTCCTCGGAAGAAAATATATTATGTTAGTAACTAGTCATTATGTAAATATCTAGTAATAGCAATAACTAGTTAAATACCCATTTTTGATATGAAGCAAAAAGTGGTTTTATTTGATCAATGAGGCAGAAATGGCCTGGTTGACAGGGCGCTGGACTCTCATTTCTGAGAATGGGAATTCAAATCCAGTCGTCCAAAGACACCCCGTGTAGTAAATAGTGACTGGTACACATTAAATCTATCTGATCACAAAGTCTTCCATATTTCCGTAACAAATCAATACCTCTTGGGGTACTGAATTGGAGATTGATTTATCTCTAGTTCAGTTCAAAATAACAGACTGTGTATGTATGAATGGGTCCATTCTATAAATGGATATGACATATGGGTCTGACATAAGTTGAATTCTTGGCCATAGATGGCGCCACTGGAAAACAAGAACAATCGCGCCTCCTCTGCCTTAATAGACGACGACAACAACAGCAAATAATCAATGAATAAGAAATAATTAAGACTATGCAATCATGCAGAAATCTAAAAAGTAGATATTTTGTCACAATTATATTTTGCTTAATATTTTTTATATTTTATTTAATATTTTTTATATGTAATTTTTATTATAGTTTCGTTTTTGTTCAATATGAAGTTCAGCTTTTTTTTCCTTAAAACAACTGTGGCATATCTAATAAATACCCTAGAAGTTATACGAACGACACTCAAACTTCATATTATTAAACAAAAATGGCATAAACACACTAAAAAAGTTAATATTTATTACTATTATGTTTAAAAAAAACATAACTTAGAATTTCAGTTGTACCTAAAGAACATAAATGACATCATTTATATATGCTACAATGCTTGTGAATGTTTTCTATCGCCTCAATGGAAAATAGCTAAATATTATTTATTGCTATTTTATTTGTTGATTATTTTTTTGTCAAATAATGAAAAAAAAATAGCAACGCATAACTTTTAATGAATGAGAGCCATGCTTTGTGCATCATTTTTAAGAACATTCAATGAAACAAAATGCTGTTTTAAAAAATTTTTACAAAACTTTGAACCTGATATTAAAAAGTAATCTTTATGAAAAATAATAATAATGAATGAATAAATATATAGCCTTGATTTATATGCCAAATATATTTAGATATAAACTAATACTCTTGAAATGTCCTTAGAAATTGTTTTTTAAGAAACAATTCATCGTAATTGTTAAATGTACAAAAATTTTGCATAGAGTGTCTGTATATTACGATATTTAGACATCTTCTTTTATTAAAACATAATATAGTACATGCTATATTATGTATGGATAGCTTTTTAGACACAAATGTAAGTTAATTATTGTATTTTTCCATATGACTTTGTTGCATCTTATAATTTTCCACCTGCGTGAACTTAGGTGAGAATGTAGTCCCATTTTCGATTTGTGCTGGAGAGTAATGGAAAAAAACAATAAGATGTATTAGTGCATTATGTGTACTTTTATCAGATGTGAATTGCAAAAACTTGTGAAGCACCTATCTGGAAACAATTCTACTATTAATAACTCCTCTGAAAATTATTTAACTTTCAAAAAGTTTTATATTTAAATCATTCTTTAATCTTGTAGGAACTTAACCTAAATCTGAAGGATAGTGTATATCTGGCTCGAAACAATTTTACTATTGCGGATCTGCTAATATATCTGAGTCTTCATGAAGTTTATGTAAGCTTTTGCAAACTTTATTGTTATTTTTTTTTCAATCCATAGAATTTTGTTTTTTTATCATTGACTTTCTTAATTTATTATTGTGTTAGTAACAATTGTTTGGTTTCAACTAAATATTGAAAAATATTTATTGAATATTTTAATTTGTTTCATCTATGTTATTGCTTCGAATTTGTTTTAATTTCTTTCTTTTTTTCTATTTTTTTATTAGTATCATATCTGTTAAATACAAAAAGTGTTATTTGTCATTCTTGTCATAAAAATATTAATGCGTAAATTCAATTCCTGTTAATGAAAATATTTTTTAAAAATTCTACTAATATTTTGTTGTAAGTACTGATGTAAAAAATTTCCTTCTTTTTAACACATTTGAAATCTTGTTCTGTTTGAGATTTGTAATTTAGAAAAGTTTTGTTGATATCAACTTTTTAAAATTTACTCTTTTATTCGTTACACCTATCAGAAATAAAAACATTTTTTTTAATCGCTTAATCTTGTTTTCAATATCCAAAAGTAACATTAAAATGGAGTCAAATGTATTTTTAGACTCCCAGCTTTTTGTGTGAAAGTTTAATATAAAGAAATGAATTGTTGTTATAAAGTTTGTTTTAAAGATTCTGAGTCTTTGATTTTAAAGTATGTATTATACATAAGGGTTTTAAATAAACAAATCATGCAGATATTTGCAATGTGTATTACATAAATAACATAGACTGAAACAAAAAATGTGGAATCTTATTTAATTTAAAATATAAGAAAAAAATGACGCATCACCAGAAAATGACTAAAAAAGGAAAATTATATATTTCTTTCTCCTTAAGGGAGATTCTCTTGTAACATTTTAAATTAGTTGTGAAAGTAACTGAGGGTGGTTAGATAGCCACAACCTTAGTTGTCTAACCTTGTTACTAGGACTCCATTTAAAAGTTCTTTTTTTTTTAAAAAAAAGTGATTCTTAGGAAATATATTTTATACTTTAATACTTTTTCTTACTAAAATATGAAATCAAAAGCAGTCAACAGAAAAGTATCTTGTTTTACAACGATGAAAATTATCCTTTTCTAAATATTAAATTAATCTTTTCGCAATCTGAACTAAAGATGCAAGTGTTTAATTATCAAAATTTTATTACAATACATAATGTCTTACACGTTTTTTATTTTATCTTTTGTTCAGTTCAAAAATTTATTTACCACTTTAAATAATTTTGACTTCCAGGTTTGCATCTGTACCTTCATCTTATAGTTTTAGACTTATGTCTATGTTGTTTATAACTTTAATTTTGTTGTGTTTATAAATGTGATCTTTTTTGAACTTTTATTTTGCCATATGTAAAATGATATTTCCTTTTTTGGTTGCATATTTTTTGCTAAATTTAACTGAATATGTGTTTAGCTTTCTATGTTCTAAAATTGATCGCTCCAACCATAGCTCATTTAGAAAAAACATTTGTTTTTAGTTAAGACTATATTTTCTATCATATTCAGAAAAATTAATAAAATGAATTGTTTCTTATTACAGTAATTTCATAGCTACAAACTTTTAGGCTTCTTGCAAAAAATTTTACTTTGTAATCGCAAAATTTTTGCTTTGTTTTATTTTTATGCAATAAATTTAGTTTAAAATAATTTTTATTGCCATGACAATTGAATAACTTACATAAATATGGTCTAATAATCAACTTGAAATGTTTTACAATGTTAATCAGATTCCAAGAATTCTGCTTATTTTAATTTATGTCAGTAAGGAAAAATTTCCTCTAAAAACCTTACATCTTAACAGTTCGCATCTATGTGTTTCTTGTGCAAACTCTATTCTTTACTACCTAACTTTGAGTAAAAAATAAAGAAAATAACTTAAGTTTTTTAATATATAATAAAAATGCAATTCTCTCATTTTTAGTCAAAACTGACGTTCCAAGAAAAAGAAGTATATTCAAACCTATCCAGATGGTTTCGACAGGTAATATATATAAAATTTGGTGAATTTAAAGGTTCTAGCTTGTTTCGCTTTGTGGACAAAGTTTTTCTTTGGTAGCAAAGTCTGTGTTTTAATGCTCTTAGTGTAGTAAACTTGTAGTAAATTTATTTTGACCACCATGACATATAACTAATTCAAATGTGTGTATAAAATGACAATTTCTTTCAGCTATCTTGTGGTATTGGCAAAATTCTGAATGCTTTAGTTTTTATTTCTCAGTCGCCTGATAATATCTTTTACAGAAAGCAAAATAGTTGGCAACCCTGTAAACTGTTTCATAAAATGAGAAAATCAAATCTTTATTTTCCGTATGCATAATATTCACCTGTCAGTCCTTGATAATAATTGCAAATATCAAACAAACAAAAATAACAAATGATCAATATTAAGTGAATAAAAATTGAATGCAATCACTTTATTTCATTTCAAAATATTAATGTTAATTAATTATATTTTTTAATTTTGTTAAATTATGTTGGTGCTTCTAGCTCTAACACTTGTTGACTATATTATCATAGATAATTGTCAATATTTAACTTCATAAAATTAAATCTTAACATACACATCTTTTTTTTAAAAAAAATAAGTTCTTTAAATTTTCTTAGTCATTGTTTTTTCTAAACAAACTATTCTTCTAAATGAATGTTGCATACTGGAAATGCCATTGAAATTTAAACAATTCTAACAATATTTAATACTGTTTAGTGTTGAAAATCACTCTTTCCCATCTTTGAAGAAATCTTTGTACAGCTTGTTTTTGAATAGTGCGACAGTTTAGAAAAAAAGTTAAAATTGGGGTTATTAATTTCTTTAAATAATAAATTAAACTTATGTTGATGTATTACAACACACCGGGTGGTTCAAGTTATGTTTCTTATAATAATATAGAGCCAGCTCTGGTTTACCAATATCAATGAAACTATGGATAAGTAACTGGACCCTGAGGATGAAAGGACTACCATAAACTCAAAAACTTTTTCTAAATCATAGCATATGTTCACTGTATAGTGCACCCAAAAAACCGACCACCCTAATTAACTTTTGCTCTAATGATTAGATCTTCATGTTTTGGGACTCAATCTTCATAGTTCAAGGGGGTAACATGAAATATACCAATTAATTAGTGCAGAGAATATTTGAAGTTATGAAATAAGACACAAAAGCGTATTTTGTCCGAATAAGGGGGTAGCCGCATTTTGGTCAGGAGAGCGATCCAAAGTCTGGACCTCTTACTGTTAATTTTATTTTTTGCATATTTGGCCACATCTCGAGAACTTTTTAAGGAAACATTTTTGCACATAATTATAGAATTCGCTTATTTAAAGATGATGAATTGCAAAAAAATACATTTTAGTTAATATTTATTATGTTTTTATTATTTTATTTAATAATAGTCAAAATTTTTGAGTTGTAAGGTATAAAATTTTTTACATCATTTTAGAGTAATATTTACATATGGTGAAATACAAAATTTGAGCGAAATCAGTCGCAGAGTTCCTGAAAAATCGATTTTTAACTATATAACTGATTTCGTATCTTTAAATATCATCTGTGTTAATTAATTAGCATATTTAATGTCGCCCTCTCTAACCATTAAGATTGGGTCCTAGACTAGTCCTTATTGGGTTTCCTATCATTAGATTCAAAAAAGTTATTCTGTTAGTTAGATGCAAAAGTTATTCAGGATAGTCGGGGGTCCTCGCTGCACTCTACATTTTTGTCAAACATATTTAAAACATATTATTAGGAGTTGAACATTTAGTATTTCTCGCTATTTTGCAGCAACATAACTTCTTTTTATCTCAGTTTCATTTGAAAACTACTTTTATGCAACATCCGTCATACTTGCAACATACATTTCAGTAATCTTTTTCAATCAAATCACTAATTTTTTTCAGTTATTTTTCTATAATATAAATGGTTGAAAAAACTACATTATTTTTGTAGTTTATTACCACTATTTTATTTCAAATGATGCTAACTTCTCCATTACTCTAAGGAGACAAACTTAAATTAAATTTAAAAGAATAATTAAGAAATATTTATTTATGTTTACATGAGCCAGTTTGTTATTCCAAAACATTTGTATAGAATTTCTTCATTTGATTCTCAACTTTTTTTACCTTTCTCGACAGTGAATATTTAATTTAAGAAATTCAAAATTATTAAATACTTGAAATTTTTTAATTGTTTAATGCTCTTTTATTTCCTGTAAAAAATGAAGTACAATCGAAAATACGTCCCCTTCCTTTTAATTAACATCAATGTCTTACGAATGTACATTCACATGTGAAAGTGTGACCAAAATGACTAATTATCTATTTTTCTTAATGGCTAGTTTAAATATTAGTTATACATGATTCTAAATTCGTAATTCTTGTTAACACTCAGCTGCAACCACTGGGTCATTTTCGTTACCTCCATTGATAGACTCGCGAAGATTTACTAAACTATTGTTAAAAGTAGTTTCCAGGAATTGCTACAAACTACTGTTTAGATATATATATATTACACTACTCACTACACTTTTTTTTTTAATATTGCTCCCTGCACTACAAACCACAAAAAAGTAGTGACTACAGTAGTTTCACTACTTATAGTGCACTATTTCTGACCATATTGTAGTCAGGAATAAGTTTACGAATGTTGCTGTCTGCTGTCATTTTAAACTACTCCAAATTCCATTAAGGTCATTTCTCATACCCCAAAACCCTTCATCAAAAATTTATATTTGTATGGTAAAATATGAGATTTTTTTTTAACTCAAATTTATTTTTCTTGTGTTTCATGTAACATATTTATCAAATTTCATCCATGCCCATCCTTTAAAACAGACGCAATGTTGATTTAAGCAAGTTAAATCTATAATTACTTATCTATTACATTTTATCTTTAAATACAAACTAACGATAAAGATAATACTAAAAGAAAACAAAAAAAAATTTTATGTAAATTATTAAAACTTCTTTGAAAAAAACGCTCTTAAAAGCAACAGAAATTTCCCAAAAAGGATGAATGTAGCAATAAAGGAAATAAAGAAATTACCACAACTGACGTCTTCAGGGGGTACCCCCTGAAGACGTCAGACGGCTTTCCTGACTAGCTGAGTCGGACGGCTTCGGTGGTTATATTTTTATTTTTGTTTCCTTTATTGCTAATAGGGTGCTTGTACTTTGTCAAAAGTTTTGCTAAAGAAAGAGGAGAAAAACACTTAAAAACTACTTATAATTTTTCTAATTCTTTTCTCAAATTATCATTTAATTTCTATAATTAAATTCTATTTCTTTAAAAATGTAAGTTTTGATGTTTGGTGCACGCACTTTAGTTACTTTTTGAAACTAATTAATATTTAATTTAGGATTGAAGTTTGCTAATTTTTCTTTCTAAAACATGACATTCATTTTTCAAAAATAACTAAAGAAATTTTTTTTTACTTAAGTAAATAAATGAATGTATTAANATATATATATATAGCTCAAAAAAGACAAAAAGGGTAAAAAAAAAAATGAGAGAAAAGCTAAGAAAATTAATAAGTCTTATATGTAATATTTAAATACTCGATACTTGAACTTATATATATCAGTAGGATTAAGAAAAATTTTAAAGATAAAATAATTGTCTTTTTGTTTTACAGAAATAAATGAAAAACATATTCTGTTCATTGAATTTGATATTAAAACGTAACTTCCTATTTTCTGAATTTTCTTTATATCTATATACACTTTTTTTTTTAAAAAAAAATAACTCTTACTTTTAAATAAAATAACACTTATTTTTAATAAAAAGAAGTAAGATTTTCAGTTTTATTAATAAATAAATCTCTGCAACTCATAAGCAATCAATGTCTATGAAATACATATGTAGGCAGTTTTCTATGCACTATATTTTTAATTATGCGTATGAATTTAAGTCATTTTTTGAAGCTGAATTAATAGTTGTAGCATCTAAAGAAGGCAAAAAAAAGAAAATTGAAGCTGATTTAAATGAATTTTTTTAAAGAAGAAAAAAAAACGATTGATTTTAAATCATAATTAAGTCAGTAATTTGATGATTAAATACTATAGTTCACCTGCTTATAGATTCCACTAAATTATGTGTTGTGCACAAAAAAAAGCGATCTTTAAATTTGACATAAAATATCTCAAAAATAATGTCCACATCAGTAAAAAAAAATTTTATCAGAATATTTCTTAATCATTTTCGTAGCAATGTACTAATTTGCTATTTTTTTAACTCCTATTTTTTGGAATATGTGAGTGAAGAAATGCTCACAGCAAAAACTTTCAGTGTCATTCATGTCAGTAACTTTCATTTAATACAGAAAGATGCCGCTTTCTTATAAAAACTTATAGGGGGGGGGGTGAAGATTGCATAAATGTCTTGATTTCAATCTAGTCATTCTTTCATGATATTAAATATTTTTCATTTTTGTTAGTTATATATATATTAACAATGATAGATCTGTATTTCTCTTTCTAGGTTCAAAATGAAACGAGTTCTTCTGATCTGTACCCCAAAATAGTTTTTACTAAAACAAAGCTTTACACTTAATTATACTGTTCATTTTTATGTATTTATTTAAGCCTGACTGTGTTATTAAAAAAAATTTCATTTAAATGTTTGTATTTTTTATTTCTTTGCATTTACCAGTTGAACTCAATAATATTGATAATAATTTAATATTATGGTAATTGATTATTTGACCAAAAAAATCCATTTTAAAAAAAGTTCTTCAGTTTTAAAAAAATAATAATAATTACTAAATTTTAAATGTGTACTATTATGGTCAAGCCGACCAGCCTGTGTAGGGGTCAGGGAACTGGCCTTGCATCAGAAAGGCTCTGGGTTTGAATCCCGTGCAAGACATGGACTTACTGTGGGGAGCAACGTTGGTGCCCCTGGAAAAGTAGTCAACAAATCTGCCCTTCAGATGCCTGTATGATGTAGGTCATTCCCCAGGCGGGCATTGAAAAAGAAAAAAAAAAACATTATGGCAAAAGAAACAAAAAGAAAGTTGGTTTTTGTACTTAACAAAATAAGAAGTTTGAGTATTGCCAAAGCAGCAATACTTTTAACTGTTATTTTCACTTAATTAATAATGTCTTTATATATTTTAACTAAGTGTGAAATGCAGAGATGATTGTTCACCATAAAAAATCTTAGTTTTCCTAATTTTTGATCTGGAAATCCAAGATCCAGAAGTTTCAAGAAATCATCGATTACATTGATGTATAAAGATTCTTATATATTTTATTTAATAATATTAGAACTTGAATTTATACTTGGCTTTTCTTTCATTTGTAAATATTTTTTCTGGTAGAATAATAAATGGGATTAGAGATAAAGATAACATAATATTAACAACACATAATTTTTAATTTAAATTATGCTACATAGAATTTATTCAAAATTTGATGTTATGAAAATATCAATGATTTAAATTTATAAAGACATTAATTTTTTAAACTGCGTCATTAATGATTTTACTCAAGAAATTGTCAGGATTTTTGAGTTAGGCTCGCAAGCAACCCTGGAAATGTAAACAGTTCTTAAATTATTATTTTTCTAAATCTTTTTTTTTTTTTTGGTCTAAAAAACTATGATATATAATTATTGTGTACTAAAAATAAAATATATTGTGCAACATTCATTTATTTTTGTAATTAACCCTTTCATACGTTGGGTGGTTTTAAAACAACAAAACTTTGATTAAGTTTGCTTAAATTCTTTCTTTATTTTAAGGTGTTTTATTTCTCTGTTTTCCAATCTTAACATAACAGTGCTGCTTTTTCGTTTAATTACCTTTTCCATTCCAGTTTCCACAGTCATTTACTCTAACCCCCTTCCTCCTCTCTCCTGTCAAAATAACATTGAGAAGTTTCACCCTCTATTTCTCCCTTAAATCTCCTGGTTAAAAAATGTTCAAAGTACCAAACAAAAATTTAAACAATCTATTATGCCTAGTATTATTTTTATTTCTCAATTTATACACCAAATGACAATACCAGACAATTTGTGACAAATTTAGAATTAGTTAATAGTTATTTAACAAATTTAGTAATAGTTATAACTCTCTTCAAACAGCTCTCTTCAAACATGTAGCCAGAAATTAAAAATGAATAAATGTTTATTTACATGTTACCTACTCAGTGTATGGTACATGCACTCAGTTTCATATAATTTTCTTGAATTAAAAAAATAAGCACATTTATAACCGTTTTCTTTAAAATTATGACTTAATGGTCATAATTAAGGAGTAAATAAGCAATTTTTTTATTTCTCCTTAAAATGTCTCGTTCCCGCAGTGGACTGATCATAAAGACACGGTTCCCAACAGATCACCGAAGTCAAGCATCACTAGCTGCGATCTGTCGCGGGTGGGTGACCACTTTGATCAACCTGCGTAGTGACCGAAAGTGTGCAGTATCGGATCTCGTTAAACTGTTCTAACGTAAAGACCTCGCGCGCAGGTCGTCGGGCTACCAAAGCAAAGGTGCCATCCTCAGGGATGTTTTCCAGACCGTTGCCAATAGCCCATTGCACAGCTCTAATGAGACGTGAATAAACTGCCTACCTATTAAAAATGTGTCATTTAGGAGATGGTGTTGTTGACATTAATGGAAGTAAGTGTTATTAATTTGATATTTTCATATGGAATATGATAAAAATGCCTAAATATAAAATTTATTTTTAAAAATGGTCGAAATGTGGATTGGTGATAAATTATGTTAATAGCGGTTAGGAAACTATTGAAATTTCATTGTCATCACACTTGAGTTAAGTTTTAAGCCCTCTAGCTAGTTTGTGACCGAAATTTTGATTCAATAAGGCGAAAAATCAGTTCAAGTGCGCCCCATTGCCGGGATCAGTTATTTCTTCTCCAAGCGATTATTAGATCAAAGTAACTTTTATGCCTAAAAGGTTGAAGGCCTTGGAGACGCATGAACGTCCCCATAACAGCGCACCATCAATAGCAATTACTTCACAAGCTTTATTGATGGGACAGTATATGTCCCGCCGTAAGCCCAAAGCATCTAAACCCTGGAACAGGGTATGACCCGACCGGAATTCTAGAGTCTTTAACTCATTTTTTAACATTTTAACAGTCTTTAACATTTTACTTAACATTTTGATGATTAAAATAATCATCAAAATGTTAAGTAAAATGTCAATACAAAATGAGTTATTGTTACGTAATAAAAGGACATCACAAAAATACATCCAAGTTAGCGATGAAGTTCGAACCCGCTACCTCCAGGTTTATCCATTCATTTGGTGGAACGTGTTTCGCCACGCGTGGAGACTCCATCTGCGGAATACCAGAACATTAATTTCTAGACCACTCTGGCTTAGTATGTAATGATTGTTATTGTAGTTTATTTACGTCGCTCTAAAGCTGCATAATGGGCTATTCGCGACGGTCTGAGGATGATCCGAAGACACGCCATCACAATTTTGATCCTCTGCAGAGGGAATCGTACCCCCGCTTCGGTAGATCGACGACCTGTGTACGAAGTCGAGCACTTGACGGTAGAACAGTTTAACAAGGACCCATACCGCACACCCTCGATCCCTTCGTAGACTGATCCAAGTGGTCACCCACCTGCACACTGACCGCAGCCAGTGATGCTCGACTTCGGTGTTCTACCGGGAACAGAGTCTTAACGATCAGCCTGCTGTGGAAAGTATGAAATGAATTAAATAAAATATGCTAGCGTTAAAGGCTCGATAGTTGGCCGAGAGGTATCGTAAGCCAAACACTGTGCGAAGCGTGGAAGTTACAGGTTCGAATCCTGCTATTTTCCTGGGTGTATTTTCGTGTTGTCCTTCTCAGTATTTTGCTATGTTCCCTTCTACTTGACAGAGGTTTATAAGTCTTAATTGAACACACAAGCCTGCAAATGTATTTTATACCAATAAACCAAACCTAGTCTCGAGAAATAGAAAAGCTCTCCTATTGTGCTATTTGTCCTCTTCTACTTGACGAAGGTTTATAAGCCTATTTTGAGCACACAAGCCTGAAAATTTATGTAATTGCAATAACCTAGTCTCGATAGCCTAATGCACAAGTCGGCGTCCTGTAACGCTATTCATAATCCCAATTGAGATATTTTGAAAGTTGATTTTAACATTGAAAGCTAAAATATTTTGTCTATATTGATTTTACTCTATATCTAAAAGAAAGTAAGTAAACTCATACATTTGTTAATCAATCATTTAAAACCTTATATAGTGTTTAGTCGAATAATATGCTAAGTATAGTATTTCGAAAACACCAAATTTTTCAACTTGAAGCACATATTTCCGATTAATATGAAATTAGTCTGTTTTTAACGTGCGAATAAGTTTTTAAGTTTTCTGTTTTTGTAGAGTGAACCGAAGAAAAATATAATCCTGGATAATTTTTGTTCTAATTATCAGATTTTCAGACTCTAAAAAAGAATCTTTAAAATATTGATGTTTAATATGCTAAAATGATTACAAAATACATGAAAATTAATTTTCTCTGAATAAAAACACCTTTTCGATGATTTTGGATTTTTGACAGATAAAATAGAGAATGGAGGGATATCCGCTGTCTGGTTCCAACAGTTCAGTCAGTGCTCGAAACTTAGGGTCTCTTAATGTGAATAATAATTTAGGTATTCCGCCCATTTCTGGATTTTTTTTTTTATGAGAATCGAAAAAAAAATTTTTACAATCATAAAATTCGTTTATCTTAAGGTAATTCTATGTAAAAAATAATCCTTAGTACTTGATTGTTTTTTTTTTTAATAATAATAGTCGAAACAATTTTGAATCTTAAAAAATAAAAAGTTTTACATCATTTTCAACTATGTGATGGAATATTTTGATTTCTGCTTATGATAAAAATTCCAAATCTGCCATAAATGGTGTGCTGATTCTGGGAAAGTGCGTATTTGAGTCCGTAGTTGGTACAAAGTAGTTTTGGTTAGCATATTAAAGGTTAACTTTTTGAACCATTAAAATTGGATTATAGCACGCGAATATCCGATTATTAGAAGTAAAATTAATCAGGTGTTTTTTATGTTCTTACTTCAAATGGTTTGGTAGCTAAGGCACTGGGCTGTCATTGTTAAGGTTTGGGGTTCAATCTCTGGTGGCGTTTGAAGTCACTCGGTATCAGATCCAGCTTATCTTGAAGACGAATATTGCACAATGCTGCTTATTGTATTTCATAATCATTCTGTTGGACTAGAAATGGAGGAGCCTTAACCTCCATAAACCCTTGCACCGGAATACTTTACTTTTAAATTTCCTTTCAAATTATTTGGCCAGCTTGCTGTTTAAAACCACTTCCAGATTGCGGCTACATATTTTGGGGATCAGAAATCCGAATCCATTGAGAAAAAAAAGGTATGTTTATTCAGGTAGGTATTTTATTTGCGTCGCACTATAGCTGCACAATGGGCTATTGGCGACTGTCTGGGAAACATCCCCGAGGATGATCCGAAGACATATGCCATCCTGATTTCAATTCTGCAGAGGGGATGGCTCCTTCCCTTTGGTACCGAAGACCTGCACTCGAAGTTGAGTACTTGGCAGTAGAACAGTTTAACGAGGACCGATACCGCGCACCCTCGGTCCCTACGTAAACAAAGTGGTCACCCACCCACTTACTGACCGCAACCAGTGATGCTTGACTTCGGTGTTGTACTGGGAACAGTGTCCTTACGGTGAGTTCACTGAGGGACTATGTTCATTTAGTGAAAGCACGTTATGTCTTATTTCGCAACTTCACTCATCCTCTGCACTAATTAATTCGCATATTTGAGATCAGTCCCTTGAACCGTGAAGATAGAGTCCTAGAATATGAAGATTCAATCATTAGATCAAAAGTTATTCAATTTTTATTTTTTTCTTCACTGTACATTTAAGTACAGTGCGCAGAATAAAAGATATCAGCCTGAATAAATGTCCTTCTAATGATCTGATTTTCACGTACCTAGTCTCAATCTAAATGGTTTAAGGGGGTGACCTCAAACATTCTAATTAATTAGTACTAACTATTAACTGAATTACGAAATCAGGCGCAAAAATGTACTTCTTCAACAAAAAAAAATTTTCTTTACATACTTGGATTCTTGACTTTTAAAATTATAGGGGTAGACAAAATTTGTGAAAAATTGGGCCATACAATTAGGTGCTAGGAAGCTATACATAGCGTAATCCCCCCAAAATAGCCAAATAATATCACCGTTGCAGGAAGTGCTATTTAAGTTAACCTTAAACTTACTATATGAGCGACAAGAGAGAAATACCTAGTGTTTCTCCGTTGCTGAGCAACCAAGTTGATACAACAAAAAATAATGAAATTAAAAATTAATTTTTTTCATTCATCATTTTCAGTTAGCTCCAGAAAGCTTATTATTTAATAGTTAATAGAAAAATATCTCGACGTTCATATTCAACAGGCATTTTATGGGACTGATTTCTGACTAAAACGTAAAGATAGTTTTTTTCTTTATCTTTGGAAATCGAATTTGAATGAACGTCAAAATAAAATAGCAATTCCAGAATTTTTGTCCATTTAAAAAGTAACGCAACCTGTAGTATTTTTTGCATTGCTCATATATGCATTTTCTTTTTATAACACGAATAGATAAAAAACAATAGTAAGAATAATTAATTAAATCAATAATTTAACTATATTTTTCGAGGAAATATGCTAAGTAAACAGTCAGCTGTTTTGCATCGAGTCATTTTAAAGCAATAGAATGTTTTTTATTTCTTAAGTTTAATTATCATCAATTCCAAGCTTTCTTTTATTAAGAACTTGATAAGTTTAAAAACGAGCGTTTCATTTAAAGGAAAATATAAATTAAAATACTGAAAAAAATGTATTAATATATTATAGAAAAAAATAATCTATGTGGTAGTGTAAAGAATAAAATTTTGGAAAATGAAAAAATATAATTAAATAGTTGGTAAAATAGTACTGTGAAACTCGCGCTGTCAAGTAATTAAAAAATTTATTTCAAGATGAAAATGATATAGAACATATCGAGAAATTTTAAGTTGTTTAAAAATAGTAGCTACGTAATCGGCAACTCTCTTCGCTTTACAGTGACACGAAATATCTAAACACAATTTCTCATAATCAACGTTTATATTACAATTTTTTTCAAGAAGATATAAAGATACCTTTTATAAAACTTTTATCTTCATTAATGTTATTGTTTGATAATTATAAAAATATATATTATTCCAAATCAATGCATACGTATATATATTATTGAAATCGAATCAATCATTCAATGAACCTACTAAAAATAAAATTCAAAAAATGCAGATGTATAACCACATTTTATCAGAAAAATGCTTTTATAAAATTCAACATTCGTTGAATATAACGATTTTTGAAATCTCTTTTTGCGAAATTAAAAAAAAAAAAAAAATTCAGACTACTTAAAAAGAAACAATGTATTTCATAATTTAAAAAAAGATAAAAAGTCTGTTGTCAGAGGCAAAAATATGAATGACACGCGTGCGTAAAGTAAGTTCTAAGTTAACCTTATTTAAATATTAATCTCCCCTTTTAAATATTTCTTCACTGTCACCAAATTACTTTTTTAAAAATAATTAATTACTTTGTCACCAAATTACTTTATAATAATAATAATAATTAAAAATAATTAATTTTAATTTTTTTCGGCTTCTGCTAAATAAGAACAGTGGAAATATTAGATTTCTCGATAGAAAAAAATATGTTGATTAATATGGTATTTAAAAAAAATTGTACCTCATAATTTTTTATATGCAATTAAATAATAACAAATAAGTAATAAAAATTATTGTTTGCATGAATGAGTTTCTTTGGGTAAATGAGTTTCATGAGTGGGTGCATTTTTTTCTTTTTTTTAAATTGCTCAATTAGTTTTAAAGATAAGATTAAAAACGCAAACAGCAAATTGAACATTAAGAGGACCAAACTTTCATCCACTCTCCTGACTAAACTATTAAGGCAGCAATTTCCAGATTGCAGCTACCCCCTATATTTTAAAAGTCAAAAATCCGAGCCCGTTGAATT